TATGTCCTGTCTTTAGGTCTGTCTGTCGTTTATCTTTCTGTCGTTTAGTCTGTCTGTCGTATTGTCTGTCTGTCGTTAGATCTGTTCTGTCGTTAGTCGCTGTCGTTTAGTCTGTCGTGTCGTTTAGTCGTCTGTCGTTTAGTCTGTCTGTCGTTTTAGTCTGTCTGTCGTTTTAGTCTGTCTGTTCGTTTAGTCGTCGTCGTTTTAGTCTGGTCTGTCGTTTAGTCTGTCTGTCGTTTTAGTTCGTCTGTCGTTTAGTCTGTGCTTGTCTTTAGTCGGTCTGTCGTTTAGGCTGTCTCTCTTTAGTCTGTCTGTCTGTCGTTTAGTCTGTCTGTCTGTTCGTTTAGTCTGTCTGTCGTCGTTAGTCTGTCTGTCTGTCGTTTTAGTCTGTTCTGTCTGTCGTTAGTCTGTCTGTCTGTCGTTTAGTCTGTCTGTCCTGCGTTTAGCTGTCGTTCTGTCGTTTATTCTGTCTGTCTGTCGTTTAGTCTGTCTGTCTGTCTTTAGTCTGTCTATCCAGTCTGCTCGTTTAGTTCTGTCGTCTGTCGTTTAAGTTGTCTGTCTGTCGTTTAGTCTGTCCTGTCTGTCGTTTAGTCTGTCTGTCCTGTCGTTTAGTCTGTCTGTCTGTTTCGTTTATCTGTTCTTCTGTTGTCGTTTAGTCGTGTCTGGCTTCGTTTAGTCTGTCTGTCTGTCGTTTAGTCTGTCTGTCTGTCGTTTTAGTCTGTCTGATCTGTCGTTTAGTCTGTCTGTCTGTCTGTCGTTAGTCTGTCTGTCTGTCTGTCGTTTAGTCTGTTCTGTCTGTCTGTCTGTCGTTTAGCTTCGTCGTTCATCTTCTGTCGGTTTAGTCTGTCTGTCGTTAGTCTGTCTGTCTATTGTCTGTCTTTCGTCTAGTCTGTCTGTCGTTAGTCTGTCTGTCTGTCTGTCTGTCGTTTAGTCTGTCGTCTTTCTGTCGTTTAGTCTTCTGTCTGTCTTCGATTTAGTCGTCTGACGTTTTAGTCTTGTCTGTCTGACGTTTAGTCGTCTGTCGTTCAGTACGTCTGTCTAGTCTGTCGTTTTAGTACGTCTGTTAGTCTGTCGTTTAGTCGTCTGTCTAGTCTGTCGTTGTCATTTAGTTACGTTTGTCTAGTCTGTCGTTTTAGTACGTCTGTCTAGTCTGTCGTTTAGTACGTCTGTCTGGTCTGTGCGTTTAGTACTCTTCTATTCTGTCGTTTAAATACGTCTTGACTAGTCTGTCGTTTAGTACGTCTGCTAGTCTGTCGTTAGTACGTCTGTCTAGTCTTCGTTTAGTACGTCTGATCTAGTCTGTCGTTTAGTATACGTCGACATCTGTTCCGATTTAGTACGTCTGTCAGTCTGTCGATTTAGTCGTCTGTCTAGTCTGTCGTTTAACGTTGACTAGGTCTTGTCGTTTCTGCTACGTCACTACGTCTGTCGTTTGTACGTTGACTAGTCTGTCTTTTGTACGTCTACTAGTCTTCGTTAGTCTAATCTGTCTGTCTGCGTTTAGACATCTCGTCTGTCTCATCGTTTTCATAAAACAAAGAAAGCTCTCGGCCCTTTTGATTGCACGCGGATCGATGGAAAAAAGAACTGAGTTGCCATCAGTTCCCTGCGGAAAGAGAAGACTGCCGTGATGCATACACTGTCGGCGAGACCCTTCATGACGGGCATACTGAAAATCCTAGGACAGAACCAGCCGATTCATGTTCCCAAAGTACGAATTCGATTTTGATGCGGGAGACGCTGGGGATATCTCTGGGCAAACATCTAGCACAGAGGTTCCCAGTGTTAATGTCACTGAAATATCTCTTAAACCTTTATACGATGTTAAGTTCCAACCATCCTGCAATACCAGAACTCAGGGATTTCTTTTCCCTGAAACACAGGCCTTCCGAAAAATCCCGGGGGGTGCCGAACAACAGGAATTTCAATGCGTATAAAAATTATTGAAACGAAACTTGTTGTTGAAAATATTATGGTTATCCTGTCTAGTCTGTCGTTTAGTACGTCTGTCTAGTCTGTCGTTTAGTACGTCTGACTAGTCTGTCGTTTTGTACGTCTGACTAGTCTGTCGTTTTGTACGTTTGACTAGTCTGTCGTTTTGTACGTCTGACTAGTCTGTCGTTTAGTCTAATCTGTCTGTCTGACGTTTAGACAGTCGCTCTGTCTGTCTCATCGTTCATAACAAAGAAAGCTCTCGGCCTTTTGGATTTGCCACTGCGGATCGAGGGAAAAAGAACTGAGGTTGCCATCAGTGTCCCTGCGGAAAGGAGAAGACGGCCGTGATGCATACACGTCGGCGAGACCCTTCAGTTACGGCATACTGAAAAGCTCCTAGACAGAACAGCCGATTTCATGTTCCAAGTACGAATTCGATTTTGATTGCGGAGGACGTGGGGGGATATCTCTGGGCAACATCTAGCACAGAGGTTCCCAGTGTTAATGTCACTGAATAGCTCTTAAACTTTACAGGGATGTTAAGTTCCAACCATCCTGCAATACCAGAAACTCAGGGATTTTCTTTTCCCTGAACACAGGCCTCGAATCGTCGAACACAGGAATTTCAATGGCCGTATAAAATTATTTGAAAACGGAAACTATGTTGTTGAAATATTATGGTTATCCCAATTGAATCAACATAGTTGGAATCTGTGGAATTTGTGCTCTAAATACTTGTATCAGAGATGAGACCTGTAGTTTGTAGTCTGGGTTGCTTCTTTCATTGCCACTAGTATCCAATATTAACTTTTATAAGTTATCTGTTTCAATAAAGGTTTTCCCAGTTTTTTTTAGCTGAGTAACAATTGAATTCCCGTTTCGTACCATTAGTGATAAGCCTTCCAACGTCTGGGAACTCGAGCTGTAGCAGCATAGTTAACGAGTTTTAGGAGTAGCTTGCCCCTAGAGAGAATTATTTAGATTAAATTGCACTGGCGCTCCTTTCAAAAACCTTTCCCATTCACAAATTCCTC